CCGCCACCCCGCGCGGGCAGCCCATCTGCCGGCCCTGCCCCGCTCCCGGGAGGTGTGGGCGGCGCCCTGGGGACCCCGGTCTGGCCCCAGCTGGCGCTGCCAGACAGATGCCAAGATGCCTTCTGGCCCTGCCCTCGCCGGGAAGACGCCCCCTTCGTGGCTGTTTCCTCACTGTTCAGGGCTCAGCTTCCCCACCCGTTTACCCGGTGGAAGTGCACCTGTCAGACCGCACCCAGCGCCCCACCACTCACCTAGGATTAGGACTGCCAGGGTCTGGTTGCACACCTCCAGCCCTGGTCACGGGTACCGCCCCACTAGGACCCCCTATCTACCTGGTCTTGCAGGAGCACTGGGTGGGTAGGGAAGGTCCAGGGACTGTGAATTGGGAGGACTGGGCCACAGACGCCAGCACACGCCCCATCCCCAGCCACTTGACAGATCTGGTGGGCCTCCAGGTGGCTTTCGGTTCCAACTCCCGCCAGAGGGACCTCCACAGGCAGGGCAGGTGTAGCGAGAGCTTTGAAGGTTCCCCAAGTCACCTCTCTGACTTCCAGAACTACCTGGGAGCCCCTTCTGCTGACCCTCACCTGTCCCTGAGCCGCCTCTTGGTTGCTTCTCTGTGAGCAGGCCCCGGAGACTCCCTGGCCCAGCACTGCTCACCCAGGTATGAACCTACAACTTTAATCAGTCTCCCCCACAAGCCAGAAAACTCAGCTGTCTTTCTCCCACCCTTCCTGGTTGCTCAGAGACCCAACTGACCTTGCATCCCCCACACCTACTGGGGGCACTGACGGGGGGGGATCCCAAGCTGGCCTGTAACTTTATTCTTTGCCATTTAGACATCACTCCAGGGAAGGAGACAGCCCACACACACACACACACACACACACACACACACACAAAACTACAGTTAAGTTTTCACCACTTTGAGAAACTGAGATATGGAAAAATAAACTCAGTGATATCTCATACTCTGATTCATACCCCTCTCAATAGCTATTATACTATTTGAACAAGGCCAAACGTGTTTTAGAATGCTCTCCATGAAGGGCAGTTCATAGTGACGTGGGTGAGCCTTCAGGGAAAAGAGCAATAGAATACTCCATCGGGTACCGAGTGTGGGGGCAGAGAACAAATAAAGGCAAATGGTGCAAGCAAAAAAATGAAAGGCAACGAGGAACTCCAGGAAAAACAAAAAGCAGCCCCAGAATAATCTTAGTACATTATTTGGCTCAGTAGCCAATTCTTTCAGTCGTGCCACCGATTCATTGGGTTTCAACATTTAGAATCAACCTATAGAAAAGGCAAGGAAGGCTTAATTATGGTTACAGGATGTAATAGAAAGTTGGCTCTAAGAACAAAAAGCAGGTGATAGTTGTCAGGAGAAGGGAGGAGGTGAATGGAGGGCTGGGACCTGAAAGCCTTGTCTTGCATGGGGGTGGGGG